TTCACATTCTGGGAAGGACAGAGGGAGAGCTCATCAGGCTCCTCAGAACACTGTATAATTTAAAATGATTAATTGTTTATTTCTGTAATCTCCTACATAATATTTTTGGATCACGGCTGACTATAAGTAACTGAAGCCATGAAAAAACAACAAATAAGAGAGAAAAACTGTATATGTCCATGGAAAGAATGACAAAGTTTTCTAATCCAAGCTTATGTAATATGAGGGTAAATGTATGAAACACCAAGAGAACAACTTATATTTTTAAAACAAAGTAATGTGTCATCACATAGACATGTATATAAACGTGTGTGTGTGTGTGTGTGTGTGTGTGTGTGTGTGTATTTCAGCCAGAGGAAGTCAATGGATGATCAATGCATATTTCTGTAAAATAGAAATTCCATTATAGTATTGGGAAATGCTGTGTGAAAAATTATTATTATTTTGTAGTTCCACCGAATAAACAAAATAACAATTTGAATAACATTGAATATTTACTGAGATATATTTGCAATTTGGGAAGGTSACAGACTGCTTACATTTGTCATATATCCATTGATTAGTAAGTTGATATTTTTATAGAACTTATGTGAAGTCCCAGTAGAAGAACAAAAATTTTGCAAATTACTTTCCCTTGCCATTAAAAATATTCATCACATCATTATCTGAGCTTCTTGACTATTACAGCCTTTTGTATATATCTTATTCCTGAAAGATAACAATAAGTCCCTGAAGTAGTTCTTATTAATGATGCATTCAATTGAACACAAAATATTGATTCAGCTTTGTCAACCTAAAACTTAARTAAAACTGTTTACATATGCTATCATGTGCAGTTAAAACYAYACAGCAGTATCTAAAAAATACATAAATTAATGAAATGGAAGTAGCACCACTAACAAAACAGATATAAGATGTTCATGGGACCATTATTACATTGAAATGTGTAATACTGTTGGATGTATAAGAATATACAAGGTATTACTAAATCATGAGAGACGGATTTAAGGGCAAACATGCAGTCACTCATGGTTGATACTA